CAGATCATTGCCAGCCGTGTGCTTTCCATTTGTTCGCTTATTTATTTGACAGTACTGGAGGTTGAACTTTCACCTGTCAGGCAGATTGTTCTATCACTGGAGCCACGCCCCCTCACCCTTTGACCTATGACATTCCAGGTAGGTTCTAGATGGACTGGCCTAGACCTCGATCCTCCTGTTTGCATCCCCCCCCACCAAACACCAGGGACACACCGCGGTACTGAGCTTTTGTTTGAACTCCCTGCTACAGCTGGGCTAAAATGGCAATCCTCTCAGAATTATAGGCATGGGATTATAGGCATGAGCCACTGCAACTGGCTGATAGTCATTTATTCAGATTTTTAAGATAAGGTCTCACTATGTGGTCCAGCTGGCTTCAAACTCACACATTCCCCTGGATGCGGTGGTGCTGGGAATTCAGGGTGCAGCGTCTTACCCTACTTGTAAAAACAAAAAAAACCTAACTAAGAAGCTTATATTTTAGTTAAGCTATGACCACAGGAAATGGTATTTCAGGGCAAATTGAGTTTTCATTCCACCGATGCTGTGCAGTTTTAACGTTGCTGGTCTTAGAACATGATTGGCTTTAAAAAAGAAAAAAAGAAAGAAAATGAGGAGAACCACATAGTTTGTCACCAAACTATATCACGTAGTTGCTGTCCACGTCCATAAGATGTGTCTGCATTCCGTTTGGGGAAGGTTCTCAGCGTCTTTATAAGTGAGCTTTTTGTTGTTGTTGTTCTTTTTAAGTTCACAGATCGTGCAAGGGTCGGGGTAGCAGGGGTTGATGGGAGTGGACATTTGAAATGAGGAAAGGTGTGGACTTACCACGCAGGCGTGTAACGGGGAAGCAGCAAAATGCATTTTCTCAGGCCTTGGGCCTCAGGAGCCTGGGGTAGAGCGGCCTCTCTCCCCTCTCCTCCCTCTCCTGTGTCTCTGTGTTTCACCCATGGGGTCCCTACGTAGGGCGGGGGGCTTGTTCTGTCCAGGGTGGTCAGCCCACACCTGCCCTCGACAGACGAAAGTGAACAAAACAAGAAACCCAGGGCTATTTTCCCCCTCTTTAAAATGTGCCGAGACACAGAAGGGACCAGTTTCCTTAGCTTAGTATTTCCAATTGATGAGGTGCTTGGAATGAAAGGCCAGCGACCCAAGGGGACAAATGGCCAGAAACTGGGTAGCAAGGGGCGGAGGTGGCCACCCAGGGCGCCATCTTGGGCTGTGGCATTTCTGATGCGTTAGCACCGAGGAGGATGGAGCTCGGGGTCCACCTGGGCCTGGCAGAGTGAGCTCTCAAGAGTCATGATTTTCTTTAGAAAGCGGAAACTTCCCAGTAGTATTCCCCCCCTCCCGAGGCAAGCTTACCTGACTCCAGTCTTCCAACCAGCCATGTCCATTGTTCTCTGACAAGAAGACAGGGCTCCTGATTGGCTGGCTGATAATCCAGGGGAGGGGACCAATCCCGGCAGCCGATGCCCAGTGCTCCAGCAGGTCATGCCGGCCTGGGAAGCCCTGCAAGCTGAGTCAGGACAGCACCGGCTGCCACAGGCCTGCACTGTCCCGAGCCTCCTCCCACAGGCCTGCACTGTCCCGAGCCTCCTCCCACAGGCCTGCACTGTCCCGAGCCTCCTCCCACA